TTTTGTTTAACTTGAATAGCTTGAATTATCAAAAATGAAATTTATAGTGGTGCCTGGGTGGCTCATTCGGTTGAGAATTTGACTCTTGGTTTTGGCTCAGGTCATGATTCCAAGGTTATGGGGTCAAGCCCCACGTCAGGCTCCATGCTAAGCATGAAGTCTGCTTAAGACTCTCTCTCCCCCTCTCTTTTCCTCCCTTGCTCATGCACTATCTTTATAAAATTAAAAAGAAATTTATAACTTATCAGTTTTAATGTTGACATGAAATTAAAGATGTTAAAGATGTGGATAATCGGAGTTTGAAGTAACTATCAGAAATATCTGTGCTCTGTCCTCTTAATGAAGTATCTTTAAAGACAAGTATTGAATTCTCTCCACTTTTTCATTTTTTTCTATATTTATCTGATTACTTTCTATCTGGTACAGGGTATACTAAATAACATCTGCTTCTATCTCAAAGCCAAGCTTTTGTTCCATTAAGTCCTGGCCATCTGGGCTATCCTGAATGTAAATGAAAAGGAAACTGTCACAGTGACCATCGTTACTTTACCCGGCCATCCTTGCAGAAGCATAGCCCATGCCTTTGACTTTCCCAGAGGAGCATGTTCTCATGAAAACTATAATGAACCAAGGTGTATAGTTCTCCTGAGCACTTAGAGTCAACTCTTTACATGGCCAGAATAAAGGAGAGAATGGTACAAGATAGTAGCTGCATGATTAGGAACCATGGATCATTTGTTACCTACCCTATTTGGTCTCACTAACAATCACAAAATGTGCTTACAAAGGTCTAAAATGAGCCCCCATGTGAGACCCCTCATATACTCCTATTGCCTTGGCTTTCATCTCTTATACCCTCATGATTATTAAAAGTATACAGACCATCCAGAACTTTCAACCAAACCCTGAACTTTAATTCTGAATCTGCCTACTGAACATTTCTGCCTCTTGGATATGTCCTGGAAATCTCCAGATCAAATCAAGACATTAATGTTAAACTCATTTATAAACTGCCAGAAACTTACTTCTCATTCCATGTTCTCCATTTCAAAGAAACACAATGCTGCTCACCAGATCATCAAAGTTAGAAACTTCCAAGTTATTTAATGACTCCTTCTCTTTTAACCCTTTCAATTATCCATCAGGTTGCATGATTTCTAACTCCTCTTTTCTTACACTTGGTAGCTCCTTTCAATTTCTTTTGCCATTATCTTTATTGTGCCCTTCCTAAACATTGTTAGCAGAAAGATTTAGATGGAATCCCAATTCGGTTATTTTCTAGACCTAGAGCCTAGAGGAGACATTTAGATTTCATTTCCTTATCTTAAACAAATAAACAAAAAAATGCTTTACCTTATAGAGTGGTTTTGAGGATTACATTAGATATTTTAGGCAAAGTTAAACACAGGACATAGCTCATAGTAGACATTCAGTGAAGATTAATCTCATGTTCATGATCACACCTATTAGACTGAGCAATGTCTGGCACATAGTAAGCACTCAATATATGTTTCTATTTATTGATATATGCATTATATTATGTCAATGACATCATCATCATTATCATGGTCTTCCTGCCTCTTATCTTGTGTCCTAATATTTCACCCTCTACATCACCATCAAAATTTATATAAAATGCAAATACCATGTCATTTTTCCTGCAAATGTTTCAGTGATGCTCTCGCCCAATAATTACTTTTCTGGTCTACATAACTGCCCTTGATCTGGTCTAGGCTTCCATTCCACTCTTATAACCTCTGTGTAACACAAACTCCTTACAGTGAGGCCAAGGAAAAAAAAATCTGTATTTTCCCCACCAACCAACCAACAAATGGCTCTTTTATTTCACATCTCCATAAATTGTCTTTATTTCAATCTGACAAATTCTAATACATTGTTTAATATTCACCATAGTAACCTGCTACTTCAGATAGCCTTCTTGCCTCTCCAAGCAGAATTATATGCTTGCAACTTAATTATTCTAATCTTGAGATTGTATATCCAAAGCCCAGTATTAAGTAGAGTTACTGAATACATGTTTGTTGAAATAATTGTTTGGGGTATTGGAAAATTACAGGAAAGATAATAGATTGATAGATAGGTAATGTATTGTCACATATTAACATAAAAGAACTTAAAACTTTTTTTTTTGTTTATGCTACTAATTTCTTACATGTTTGACCTGTTCTGAAAATTAACACTTATCAGGGAAATGTATTTGTTGTGGCTTTTTCATAATCACTAATTCCTCCTTAGGACAAGTAGCACATTTACAAAGTGAACGAATGGTACAAATCTTGGGGCAGTGAAACAGTGATACTAGTTGATTGACAGTTAGCCAGTAACTTTGGCATTGGCCCCAGCTAAAGAATTTGTCCTAACAAACTGAGATTTACAGTTTAAAATGTAAGAAGTGGGAAAAAATGGTTAATAAAATGGGCTCTGATTTTTAAAAATCCAAGCTCAAAATTTAATCTACTAATTGCTAGATATATGATCTTGAAGGTGTTTCCTAACCTTTTGGAGACTTTTTCCTTATAAAATGAAAATAAGAACGGTACCCACATAAAAGGATTGTTGGGAGTATCAAATGAAGTGTTAAACTTAGGCTGTGTGTATATAAGACTCACAAGACTATACCATAGGCCACATTTGGCATCAGGTCTGTTTTTGTGAAGGATATAGAATAGGAACTTGACATGATTGTAGATCAGACGTTCCAAATGAGGAAATTTTCCTAGAAATCTGTAAAGCACAGCTCACATGGAGGAAAAGTTCTACACCAGACAAGCCCAGCAGCTGTTCTGGCTTAAAAGTCTCATGATCCGCAGAAGCTGAGATCTCATGAAGCAACCCCATTGTCATAGCCTGCAAGGTCGCTATAAAAACACAAGCCCTCTCCCTAGAGTTGCCACATTCAGGGAAGCTCAAAATGGTGGCTGTCTATCAGGTATTTGTAGTTTCTCCAGTGCAGATGGGATTTATCCAAAGGGGTTATTTTATCATAAATAATACAATCTAGGGGCGCCTGGGTGGCGCAGTCGGTTAAGCGTCCGACTTCAGCCAGGTTACGATCTCGCGGTCCGGGAGTTCGAGCCCCGCATCAGGCTCTGGGCTGATGGCTCAGAGCCTGGAGCCTGTTTCCGATTCTGTGTCTCCCTCTCTCTCTGCCCCTCCCCCGTTCATGCTCTGTCTCTCTCTGTCCCAAAAATAAATAAACGTTGAAAAAAAAAAATTCTTTAAAAAAATAATACAATCTAGTAACATAGCTGACTTGCCAGCTTTATTCAGATTACCAGGACAACTGAAAAAGGCCGTTAACTGATGGTCAGATTCTCTACAAAAGGTTAAAAGGAATTTTTAATCCCTCTGCCTGTACATGAAACATGAACTCAGTATTACATAGAGGATAACATATACATGTTAATATGAAAACAATCTCAAGAAAGATAAGAATTGTATCTAAGAGTAAATTACAGAGAAGTTTGTAAAGAGAGGCATTAGAAGTCATGATTTGGTCATTAGTTTGCCTGACTTTTGTGAATGAACTCATAAATGCAAGAATGAAAACTTACTCGTTACAGAGGAAGTTTTGCTCTGTTGTTAGTGTTGTACCTAATGTATCATAAATGCCCAATACCTGCCATTTGAGTAAAAATTGGGTTTTGGTCTTCTGTGTTGTTAGAAGAAAAACAGAGGTGACTCACAGGGCTCTTTTACCACTATTCTTGGATGATTCTTCTTCCCAGACCTCTCAGCTCAGACAAATTGACTTTGATGCTTTGAGCTCTAATTGTCTCCTAGGAATGCAATTTTCATGCACATGCCAGTAGAATTAAGAAGATTGAATGTGAGTTGTTACATTAAAACAGACCTGCCTCTTGGTATGGTTAATTACCATAGTTAAATATAGCACCTGAATGACAAGACAGAATTATCAGTGCATTCTCCCAGTGGAACAGATGGCTGTATCATGGCGACAGGCTGCCCATGTCTTGTAAACATGCATTATTGGTTATTGAGAATGGGCAAGAGTTCAACTAAGAATCAACACAAGGCCACCCACTTCCAGGAAAACCACTCAAAGTGCATATGCCTGTAGTCATTGGCATTCATAACATCATCTTCATATGTATACATTACAGTTTAGAACCCAGCATCCCTCTAATTCAAGTAGGAGTAGAGAGATAACAGTTTGAATGCAAATACCTTACTGACAAGTAAATATGAGACATCTACTTAGAGTGTATTCTGTAATATATAAATAGATTTATATTTCTAATGCTTATGATGTATCTAATTAAGATACCCATATGTATATTGTATATTAAAGTGTGAACTACAAGAGTTGATGTACTTGAATAATCATAAAATTATGACAGCTAAAGTTTCAAATGATATTAAAAATAGTGTTAAGCTTATGGGGTGCCTGGGTGGCTCAGTCAGTTGAGCACCCAATTTCAGCTCAGGTCATGATCTCAAGATTTGTGGGTTCGAGCCCCACATTAGGCTCTGTGCTGTCCTTCAAAAATAAATAAATGTTTAAAAAAAACTTTTTTAATAATATTAAACTTACATTTAAGGGGTTTTTTGTTAAAACAATATTGTATTAAGGTAGCCAGGCATGCTTATTTAAATCACTAAACAATGAAAATTATATGTTAACTGTTCTTGGTTCCTCATTTTCTGAATTAAAACAAATCTGGAATGAGTGAAATGAACAATATGGTAAGCTTAGTTTCAGTTAATTTTGTTTAGTCCCTTTATTTTCTATTTCCTCTGAACAGCTTAACAACTCTTACAAAATAGGAAATGCAAATGTTAGCTTTGAGTCTGACTGCTTTTACACATCATAAATGTTGATATATTTTCAATGAAATTGGCATTGTACCTCCAAGTAGAAATAAAAATGTCCGAGCTTATTTTACTCTGGAGTGTAGAAGACAAAAGTTTGTAACTGCTCATTAGTCTGTGATGAGAATCCTAATGTTCTTTTGCAGCTTCTGCCGACAAGAGAAGCTGCCAATGACCTTCCAGTCCTGTGTGATCACCAAAGAGTGCCAGGTGTCAGAGTGGTCAGAATGGAGTCCCTGCTCAAACACGTGCCGTGATGTGGCATCCCCAAAAGGCACTCGTGTCAGGACACGGATCATTAGGCAGTTTCCTATTGGCAGTGAGAAGGAGTGTCCAGAACTTGAAGAAAGAGAACCCTGTGCATCTCAAGGAGACACAGTTGTCCCCTGTGCCACGTGAGTAAATAAAGGATGGCAGCTTATGCTGTGATGTCTCCCTACCTTGCGTGTTCACATACCCATTTGATTTTAAATGATTAGTGAATTGAGAAATAGTGATTTTTACAAATTCTAAGTGGGGAAAAAATAAAATACCATTTTGCAAACACTGTCCTAAAAAATGTTCCGACTTTTGGACTTTATTCTATAAAAAGTGAAATTTTCATTTTAACTCCCCTAAAGAATGATTTGTTTGGTTTCACTTTCCTTGACATCCCCCTCCCGACCCTCTGACTCAAGGCATCATTTATACGTGTTTTCTTTCTTTCTTTCTTTTTTTTAATTTATCTGAATGCCATTCTTCCTTTATAAATATATATATGTCAGGAGCATTGTTCTGTGATGCCCCAGTCCTGCAGCTGTGTTCACCCCCTTTTAAAAATGAAAAATGAATGTGAAGGTCTAGTTTGCTGTCATGAAACTTTACTATTGACAAAGCGAAGCACCTAGATCAGACATCAGAAGGCCCATTTAACTTTTTTTGTCCATTTGCGATGAACATTAGTGCATCCATTTGTACCCATGTTGGCTGTTAATCTGATTACCGAAGAAGCATCTTGTTTAAAGTGACACGAAGTGCTACATGAGCCATTCTCTTTGTGCTTTCAGAATATCCATTTTCCTTGAGGTGGGGAAATGCCATCACTTCTATCTGTAGTGGCATCGGGAAATGGTTCCTGGCTATTGCCTTAAAGCACATATTGGGCTGACAAGCCCCCAACATTTCTTTCACATCCTAACGTTGATTGGAGCTTTAATTTAGAACCACAGATCATCTTTCCTGTGTTCCACTGATTAGAAACGTCAGCTCTTTCAACATTCATCAGGCACTCATCAGGGATTCTCAGTGCTACAGAAAAACACTCATTCTTCACAATAAAGAGAAAACTCTGAACTGTTATATATTTTTTAATCCTCACACACACTTATAATTTTGATCCAGTATGAAATAGCAATTTTCATGCATTAAAGGCAAAACAAATGTTTGGGTTGATCATCATTTAGAATGTTTTCCATTCTCAGATTCAATCCTCCTTTGTTTATAAGCATCAAGAAAGGGCCAGCCTGAGTTCAGCTTAATTGAACATAAAATTTTATGTTTTCAGCATTATGCTCTCTTTTCATAAAATATTTATAAGCAACTTCCAGTAATTGCAAATAAAACAGGATCATCCTAAATTTAACCCCTCTTTAAATGGAGCACTGCTGAGGATAGAGGAGAAGAAATTGAACCTGAATCTGTACCACAGATGTAGTAGTCTATGGTTGATTCAAGAGGAAAGTGTTTTTTAGACTAATTTTTTTTTTTAAGAAAAAAATACGTAAGAAGAACAGAGCAAAGTTTTATTGAATAAACATGGTTGCCACGGCCAGCATTTTCTTTCTTTAGGTATGGCTGGAGGACTACAGAGTGGACTGAGTGCCGGGTGGACCCTTTGCTCAGTCAGCAGGACAAGAGGCGGGGCAACCAGACTGCCCTCTGCGGAGGAGGGGTGCAGATGCGAGAGGTATACTGCGTGCAGACCAATGAAAACCTCCTCTCGCACTTAAACACCCACAAGGACAGAGAAGGTAAACTATCTTCTTCTTTTCAACTTACACATGCAGACTGAGCCTGGAGTCACCCTGCAGGGAGACAGATATACATATAGATATCTGGAACATGAACAGTCATAACTCTGTTCACATCATGGCTGATATCCACTTTGATGAACAGTAATTTAAATTTTGGTTGTAAAAAAAAATAGTAATAATCCAATTCTGTCCCTGGTCAGTTCTGATTTGCTGACAAGTCTTTTAAATATTCTGACTGCAGACTCTGAGTCAAAATTTAGCAGATGTAACTAATTATAAATACAGAAGAAAACATCTTGTAAGTATACATGTAGAATGGTCATTTATTTTAAAGGCTAGAGTTCCCTTATATAAGATGTAAAATCTGCTTGTAAAATGGCAACCCCTTTTGCTGTTTGTAATATGGTTGAAAAATAGTAGGTTAATTATGGTATTGAGTGAAATTTTCAGTTTGAATTTACATGAAATAAATACAGAATAAGTACAAAGTACGACTACAGTAAAAAAAAAAAAATAATAGGTAGCTCAGTCACTTAAGCATCCAACTCTTGATTTTGACTCAGGTCATGATTTCAGGGTTCATGAGTTCGAGCCCCCTGTCTGGCTCTGCACTGACAGCATGGAGCCTGATTGAGATTCTCACTCTCTCTGTCTCTCTCTGCCCCTCCCCCTCACATCTCTCTCTCTCCCTCTCCCTTTCTCAACAAATAAATAAATATTTAAAAATAGTAATGACATGACTTTTTAAAAAAACTCTTGATTAAACGCTTTGATTTGGAAAACCTGTCTTAGAACCTTTTTTGTTGTTTAAATCTCAATTTGGGGACGAGATATGCTTAGTGTGCGAAAGGATAAGTGAGTTCAAGATGGTCAAGGCTAAAAGTATATACTATTATATATTAATATTACTCTACAATTCTAATAATTATTAGATTAAGTTTGTATTCAATTAATTGCTCTTAACTCCCTACACATATGAATGTTTTTAAGCAATGTTATAGGCAGACCTTCTTACCTTCCCTCTACCTGAGAAGAGCAGGATTTCTATCATTAGTCCATTAAATAAATATCTATTAGTTGCCAATAGAGTTTCAAAAATTGTATGAGGTGATATGGATGGAAATATCGATACAAAATTTGTGTCAGGAAAGTGCTCATGGTTATCATGAGGGCACACAAACCAATAGGTATAATACAGTATGAAATGCATTACAACTTGAGTTTAGAATATCTGGGGGGGGGGCGGTAGAAGAGAAACAGAAACATAGTGGAAGTGGCACTACAGCTGAGTGATGACACACACCTCCCACACAGGAAGTGGATCAGGAATGCAAGAAGTTTATTCCAGGCAGAGAGGACAGCATGTATTAAAACCTATGGGTGAAGACAAGCAAAAGCCAATGAGAAATCTTGCCAAAAAAGATGAGTATGTTGTATTTGGCAAGTTGTAAATAGGATAGGGTAGTATTCCCCAGCAAATATGTTGGTTGGAAAGGGAAAAGAATAAGGATAAAGACCCAAAATAGGAGAATTTTCAGAGAAGAAATCTGTTGAAGGATGCTCAGAAGAGAAGGGAAAGAACCAAGAGAAATGAGTGTTAAAAAAAAAAAACAGAAGAGAGGACTCCTCTGCCTCCCCCCAAAATTAGTGGCACCAATGACCAGCAATTCGTGGAAAATAAGCACTGAAGTTGTGCATTTGCAACTTGCACAATTTAATTGTTTTGTATCCACTAACTTTACATAGTATGTCACCCAACTCATTTAGGAATCTAGCCTAGGGATACATTTTACTACTAATGTTTCTTGAGGTTGTAAGAAAGTAGCGTAAAACATGTAATGTTAGTACATTAATATTTTCTTGGCCATTTTAATGGCCACATTTCTAACACTGTTAGGTGGATTTATTATAGCAGTCCTTTCAGAGTAGTATAATTTCATTGCTAGAGGTAGATCAGATTTTAGTTTCTGAATGTCAGTTATGTCCTGTGGGTTATTACTTTCAAAAGATCCTTCAGAATTCTGAATTGCAACTGGGTGGGATTTTTTTTTTTTTAACCATTTTGCCATGGAGTCTCCCTATCACTGCCAAAAGCATGGCAGAGCACCAAAAAGTCACAGAGAAAAAGGGAAACAAAAAGAACATTGTCGTTAAGATGTATGTGTTGGAGTAAAGCAAATGCCAAAGCAATGATCCATGGATATGGAAATAATCAATTTGCCTAAAATTAATATTAATCATATATGTATGTAACATGAATAATTTGGTAATTTGTGTCATTTCATTTCAAATACCAAGAATACTAATAAACCTTATGTAGTCTTTTTAAAGACAGTTAATCCTCCCTAAAAGTTGCAGCTTTTTTTTTTTCTCAGAACTTAGACTATATGAATTTCTCCCCAGAAGCACTTACCATTTCCCACTGGGAAATTTATTCAATATGCCAGCATCCCAAGGGTGATGTGTAAGACTGTACATGTGTGTGGATGGAGAACAATTAGGCTGTGGGCTGTGAGGATTGTTCACATTCTGTTTTCTTCCAATAAATACCAAAGAATGAAAGCTTACTTTGTAAAAGAGAGGGAAAGTCCTCCAAATCACTCCTTCAATGAGTCCTAAAAAGAAAGTACTGATCTCAAGTAATCCTGATTGTATAATCATGAACAACCTGCCCCAAGAGCAGTTTGTATTATGCTTAATACGAAGAACGCAGTCTACACTGTTTGCAGATTTGCACCATGTGTTCTCTGAACAAATGTCTTCTTTCCACATGTAACAAAGTTATTAAAAGATACCTTAACCTGAAGTAAAATACTTAAACTCAAAATGAAGTTTCCTGATGTAAAAATACTGAAAACAAGTGATGTGAAGTTCACATAAAATTCCTTTATTATCTTGGCACATCACATTACACAGAGGAATGGTAATATCCACCTTACCACAAGGACAGGGCCACATTAAATAACTTTATTCATTCGTGTATTCACTACTATTAATAGACTCACACACACCAGGCTATAAAAAATTCTCCTCCCTTCAGCTAATATATTTAATTTCCAGAAAATCAAAATGTATCTTATTAAAGTACACACAAAGTATAATGTATTATATTTGCAACTTCGCACCTTATTTGTGCCCATTGAATTATACCATCGGAATATTTATGAAGTTGCTGATAGTACCTATAGATAATTGGGAAAATATATCTACTTGATATTGGAGACCATCCATATCTTATTCATGTATTGCCACAGGCCATAGGTAACCCTCCCAATCTTGACAACATTTGTCCTACAGTATTTCAGGTGAGCAAAATTTCCACTTCTTTAGAAGAAAGGTTTGACAAGTTTTCTACTGAGAAGAGTTAGTAGTAAAACCCTGGGCAGGTTCTGTTCAGCGGGCTGATCGGAATTCCAGCAGGCTGTGAACAGTGTCCAGCTTATGCTGGCATGAAATTGACCCTTATGAGAATATGACAGGAAGAGGCTTTGCCCATGGGGAGGTTAGCAGTAGCTAGAAAACTGATGAAAATGTTGCTTATCATTGGATACATAAACATGAATTGATTTTTTAAAGAGCTCAGAGTGAAATGAAAGTAGATTTTAACTCTATAATTCAAGACATTCTTTTAATACAGATTGAACATGTTTTTAAATGAAGGAACCCAAGAGTATTGGTTCTAAAGCACCATGAAGCTTTCATGATATATATTATAGGAAACGTTAGAACATTATTTTGTAGAAAATAGATTGAAAAGTCCACAATGAACTCTGGATAAGGTGTGTGGGCTTGGAGGCTATTAAGAAAAACAGCCTGGATAATGAGCCTGTATGATGACATATAATAAGATAAACCAGCAGAAAGTTTGGACGATCGATGGAAAGATGGATGGCAGGAAGGTGGTTGAACTATGAATGGGTAGACAGAAAGATGAAGAAGGAGTTCATAATTTCCCATGTTCTGCAAAGAAATAAGGAGAATAAAATAGTCACCATCTCTAAATGGAATGCACACTATTTATAATTGTAGCTGTTTATCCACAGTTTCCACAAAGTAGCCCACTTTGGTCAAAGCTGATTTGAAAAAAAAAAGAGAAATACAATGCTTATGGTGCCATTTCCCTGTTATTTCAGAAAGTAAATATCAGAGTACGTCGAAGTCTAGTGCTGCACCTTTCCTATCCATCACTTTTGAAATAACAGGTAGGTGAGAACATTTTACATGCCATTTCGATCAGAAATATGTATCAGACGTTCTCTGTACATTTCCTTATATAATCCTCAACTGATCTAGGAAACACAGTGGTTTACTTTTGCTTTCTCTGTATCTAGAAATGTGTCCAGGCGGACCCCTCAGATAGAAGTGCTTTCATGTTTCTTGACTTTCTATAACATCTTTGTGTAGATGTTAAAATTATAGAAGAACATAAAAAGATGTTAAAATTTACCAACTTTAAATGGTCACTAGGATACCATAATTATATACACAGATATATAAAATTTGGTTATGAATGCTTCTGTTGAGATAAATTGACAGTAGGAGCACTTTTCAAAATTTGTCCTATTTCTAAGCACACCACTTTGAGCTCTACTAATCTTTTAAAAAAATTTTAATGTTTATTTATTTTTGAGAGAGAAAGAGGGGTGGGTAGGGGCAGAGAGAGGCAGGGGCAGAGGTTACAAAGCTGGCTCTGTGCTGACAACATAAAGCCTGATGCAGGGGTCAAACCCACAAACCGTGAGGTGACGACCTGAGCTGAAGTCCAACGCTTAACTGACTGAGCCACCCAGGTGCTCCTCTCCTAAGCTCAATAAGGTAAATGAGGGGCGCCTGGGTGGCGCAGTCGGTTAAGAGTCCGACTTCAGCCAGGTCACGATCTCGCGGTCCGTGAGTTCGAGCTCCGCGTCAGGCTCTGGGCTGATGGCTCAGAGTCTGGAGCCTGTTTCCGATTCTGTGTCTCCCTCTCTCTCTGCCCCTCCCCCGTTCATGCTCTGTCT